AAAAAAAAAAAAAAAAAAAAAACCCCCCCCCCCCCCCCCCCCCAAGATTTGAAAGTATCTTGTCCCCTTATTGGTCCTTTAGGTCAGATGCCAGCCAGGTTAGGGAAAAGGATTTTGGAGTCTCTGGCCAGGAGGGATTTTATAGTACTGTACACAGGACAGCTGTTACCCTTCCCTTTATAGTTATGACACCACCGGACTCGGAGGTAAGTGTAGACCTACCCTGACATTCAAGCCTCTGCTTTCATGAGGTTCTTACAACTGAGGGTGCCCCCTCTCCCCCATTTGGGACAGGTTAAGCACAGTCCTGCTTTCCTGTATTCCTACAACAATTACAACATTGGAAACCATATTTCACTACCCCTGCATTCAGTACTAAGGTGATTTGTACCCAACATCAGTTTGACACCACTGTATTCCACTGAATATGTAAGCGGAGCAGGAGCAAACTGTATTTACATAAACACAGCCAAGTCTCTCCCCCTCCCCTCCCAGCTAGCTGTCAGGGAAACATTCATTCAGACCCTGCTTACATACAAGCTCACCTGTGACCAGTGAGTGAAAATGTGTAAAGCGTCACACTACCTATTATCAGAGGGGTAGCAATGTTAGTCTGGATCCACAAAAACAGCGAGGAGTCCAGTGGCACCTTAAAGACAAACAGATTTATTTGGGTATAAGCTTTTGTGGGTAAAACCCCACTTCTTCAGATGCAACTAACCTATAACAATCACTGTTGTTGGGAAAAAGACGCAAACGTGAGACATAAAAAAACTAAATAAGTCCAAACAAAATGTCCTCCTAGCACTAGGGCTGTACAAGGGTCAGGCCTGGTGAACAAGCGAAGCATGCGACCAGAAATCAATAAACCAAAATTGGTGTCTTGGCAATTAGACCGAATTGGTGAACAAAATATTGAGGGGATGGGCTATTCCTCCCACTCCTCCTCTTTGGGGGGGTCTCACAAGAAAGGCCGTTTGTGGGGGGGAAAGGCAGAAGAAGCTGTCTGACAACAACTGCTGGTTGTGAGGAAGGAAAGGTGCGAGCTTTATCCTCATGGCTGTCACCCCTCACCCCCCCACACACACCATCTCCTGGAACCCTGGAATCAACCCTAACACTGCTGGGCCTTTGTCCTGCCTAGACTGGGCCAATAAGAGGGACCAAGATGACATCATCCACCCACACATCCTTTTCCTTCCCCACTTTCATGGGTGGCAGGTGACCCGCCCCCCCTTCATGGAGGCTAGCCCTGTGGCCCCTCCCCTTCCACACAAGACCCCCCTCCCCATGGCCGGAGTCCTGAGACACCCTCCCCCCACAACTTCCGTGGCCAGAGAAGCCCCGGGACAGCCAGAACCCTGAGCCCCTTCACCCCCGTCAGAGTCCCGGGCCAGCCCCAGCCAGCCGACCAACCCAAGCCCCAGCCCGAGCAGCCCCAGCAGCACGGGCCGGCCTGGGGCCAGTGGGCCCGGGGCTGGAGCAGCCCCAGCCCAGCATCCTGCAGCAGCAGCTACAGCCAGGAAAAGCAGAGCCTTCCCTGGCCTATTATACCCACCGCCCATGCGCACCTTATTTCTTCACTTTCCTCTCTCTCCTTTTGCCTTCTGTTTAATCAAAGTCTGCCTTACTCAGCCAAGCCTGTATATTTTGCAATGATGCTGAGAGGCTGTGACCAGAAAGAAGCAGCTCAAAGCAATGCCCTAAACAGCCTGATACTGGTACAAGTTTGGCAGGTCTTAGAGGTGCTGATCATGGCCTGTGTTTTTCCAGCAGTAAGGTTGCAAGTGAAAGTAAACTCCAGAGCCAGAAACTGCATTTTTCTGTCTTTGCTGGTCTTGTCTCTCCCCTTTTGTGTGTGTTTGTGTGACAGAATACACTCCTGTGTTCACACACGAGGGTACTAGGCTTTGTACAAGGTATGCCTTATATCCTTTGAAAACTCATAATTTGCCGGTCAGTACAGTCCTGGTAAAATATGTGTGGCAACACTGTATGAGAAGTTACAAAATTCCCCTGTGTGATGTTATGAACACATGTTCCAAACCACATAGCGCTGCGCAAATGGAAGCTGGCAAACAGCGCTGTCCTAAACAAAGGAATGTGTGCTCTACTTAATTTGCATGTAAGCAGTAAACAGAGTCATCAAGCAGGGAGGGGAAACAAAGGAAGTACAAACAGGTGAAAAAAACAGCAGGGAACATCCTTCCACATGGACTCTGGCTCCTGGTTCTCAGCTGGAAATGTTTTGCAAGAGGGGAACTGAAGCTATAAAAAGGAGGGAAAAACACCTCAAGGCACCTGTGACGTTATTGATATAATCTGGGACCATATAGAACATGGTTGCAACCAAAGTCCTGTAGTGGCACCAAATCTTGTATAAAGGGGGGTCAAATGAGGTGTCTAAGACAAGGTTATGGTTTGCTGGTTATGATTATGCTGTCTATATG